AGTTCAAGATTCAGTTATCCCCCCCCCAGAAAATAACTTACTGGATATCTTCCTTAACTCCAAGATTCAGTTGGTAGCTGATACATCAGTGTCATGGGAACTTCAAATATTCTGAAATGTTGATTTTATAAACAGAATAGTCCCTATTTTTTACATGATATTTTTCATAACTCTGGTCAGTAAATCCTTTCTTACTTTTCCTAAATCTTTGGTTTATTATCTGAACTGATTAATTTGATTCTGAATTTTCCTTTCTCTCTCTCTCTTTTTTTTTCATTCTTTTGATGTGAGTCTCATTCTATTATAAACTTTCTCTTTAGTTTGTGGGATTATTGTCTTCTTCATGCATTATTTCACTTAGTAAGTTACTTTGCTACACTTCTCGGTTCCTTTTAGGACATATCTTTCAACTCTGTGACCCGAGTTTACTTGCTACACTTCTCGGTTCTTTTTAGGACATATCTTTCAACTCTGTGACCCGAGTTTACTCTGCTACACTTCTCGGTTCTTTTTAGGACATATCTTTCATCTCTGTGACCAGAGTTTACTCTGCTACACTTCTCGGTTCTTTTTAGGACATATATTTCAACTCTGTGACCAGAGTTTACTTGCTACACTTCTCGGTTCTTTTTAGGACATATCTTTCAACTCTGTGACCCGAGTTTACTTGCTACACTTCTCGGTTCTTTTTAGGACACATCTTTCAAATCTGTGACCCGAGTTTACTGTTTTACTCGTGTGTTCGTGAACTACCTCTTCTCTCCCAAGACTATTTTCTATCCACACTATTTGATCCATTAAATTTTTGTGAGTTTTTTAAATACCTTTCTTTCTGTGCTCACTCCACTTACTATTTAACCGCTCTTATTGTAGCTATCAACTTCTATAGATCTAGGTAGGTTATTTTACTGACCTACTCCTAGCTCTGAACCTTTCCAATTTTATTCTTATATCCTCTCGTTTTTCTAACACTATTTCCCACTCTTGACACTATTATTACCTTCTCTAGTCATGTCTGAATAGATAACCTAATATTACCTGTTTATTTCAATAACTGTGGGTCGTTTTGATTCGTTTCTAACTCTTCTTTATTCTGCTATCATGATGATCTTCTCTCGATACTAACAATGTTCTTTGATACAACTGTTTAATATCTTAATTTCTACGTGTGCATCTACTTCATTCTTTTAGAAACTCTCTTAGATCTTTTACCCCATCTGGTGGAGTAGTAACATTCAACTTACCTGTTTGTTATTCTTCTTCATCCAATTTATAATTTAATATCTGAAACGTTACAGATGAAAAAAAAAAAATCTACTGCCTTAATTATATATTTAGATCCTCTCTCACCGCTGTTATTACTAGATTAGTCCTAAATTAGATCAATTGTGTTTTATAAAGCTTTTTAGAAAACTAGATATCCTCGTAGAACTCTTGCCATAATAAAACCTTTTCTTACACTGTTACCATTTTATAACCATATAGATCATTAACCTTTGGGACTCTTAGAACTCATTTTCAGCTCTCAGTTATATTTAGATTTTCCTTATATTTACCTTTTTAATGCCTAAATTAGATGTATATACCTTATTGATAATCTTTTTCTTTAGTGTATCAATAAACTTGTTAGATCCAATAGATATAAATCCTGGTTAAGTTTGCATCCATATAATATTTCTCCCTGTTGTTATGTGCATGATCCAGCTACTTAAGCCTCTTGTACACCAAAGGTTTGTTTACGTATTTCGACTAAGAAGGTTAGAAGGGGCTTTGCATGTAATAGACACTCCCTATCGTCCTTCTTTCTTGGCTGTTTCTCTATGAAAAGAGAAAAAACTACCTTTGCTCCACAGAGCTACACCTTTAGCAGTTTCTTCTTTTTTTTCTTTTTTTTACAAATAACACTCCTGGTCCAGTGCCCTGTGACATACCCGTTTCCAACAGCTGTTGTTGGCTGTTCCGACCAAAACACAAGAGGAGTTGAACAGTTTTCTGTAATACTTTACAGTTTACTGTAATAATTCAGTTACGACAATTAAATGGTCTCCTTTCTTAATGAGCTACGGTATTGTTGAGATCAGGGTTACAATGGACTAGGATTGTTAGAACGTTCGAGCCTACAAGAGACCCAGGTGTCCTTCGACTTCCCGAAGAGTGGCGTGGATCCAATTCAAGTAAGTATGTGGGTTATATATGTGTGACAATCACTTGTGTTTTGTTTGTTTGTTTGTTATTGTTTTCAACATTTTTCTGTTAGCCTGTGTGTGTCGTTCACATTCCACAGTATGCTAAATGTTGCATGACTTGCCTGGTCCTTGCCTGTTGCCAAGAAGCTTTTGAAAATGTGGGGAGAGCCGCCTCCAGCTGTCTGGTTTTAGATTTAGTTTGGCTTTGATTTCCACACTGGTTCCAATGTTTCTTTGCACCTGCACCATTAGAGTTATTCCGTGGAATCTTAATAGTTTATAATTGTGTAGGCAAAGTAGAAAACCTCAGAGTATTTGTTGTTTCAAACTCCTACAGTCATGTACAATAAAATGTATTACCTCTTCATCTAAAAAGACTCTCTCCTCCCCACATTTTCTTCAGGCTTTCCTGGCTTCAGTTATCTTCCTACTCCGGCTACGGCCACAGCAGAGCGGCCCCCAACAGCTTACTATGGTGAGCCATTTTCTACAGCTCCTGTTACTAACGTCACTCGACCTGAACACTCTTCCATAACTATTACCAACACCTCAGTTCACAGGGAGCATTACGTACAGCATCGACCCACAGGTAAGTAGTTAGGTGATATACCTCGTGAAGCATCGACCCACAGGTAATTCATTAGATGATATACCTCGTGAAGCATCGACCCACAGGTAAGTCGTTAGATGATATATCGTGAGTTGATGCTTCACGAAAGTAAGTCATTAGATGATATACCTCGTGAAGCATCAACTCACAGGTAAGTCATTAGGTGATATACCTCGTGAAGCATCAGCTCACAGGTAAGTCATTAGATGTTATACCTCGTGAAGCATCGACCCACAGATAAGTCATTAGATGATATACCCCGTGAAGCATCGACTTACTGGTAAGTGGTTAGATGATATACCTCGTGAAGCATCGACCCACAGGTAAGTGGTTAGATGATATACCTCGTGAAGCATCGACCCACAGGTAAGAGGTTAGGTTGTATTACACATGCAGCATCGACCCACACGAAGTAGTTAGGTGACATTACTCGAGCAGCATCAACCCACAGGTAAGTCATTAAGTAATATTAGTCGTTCAGTATCGACCCACAGGTAAGTCATTAGGTGTATTAGTCATGCAGCACCAACCCACAAGTAAATCTTTAGGTGACATAACTCATGCAGCACCAATCCACAGGTAAGTCATTAGGTGACATAACTCGTGCAGCACCAATCCACAGATAAGTCGTTAGGTGACATAACTCGTGCAGCACCAACCCACAAATAAGTCATTAGGTGACATAACTCGTGCAGCACCAATCCACAGGTAAGTCGTTAGGTGACATAACTCGTGCAGCACCAACCCACAAGTAAATCATTAGGTGACATAACTCGTGCAGCACCAATCCACAGGTAAGTTGCTAGGTAATATTACTCCAATTAAAGAATCAGTCGAACATTCCAGTACATCTTATGCTAAAATAATACAGCACTAATCTCTCATATACAGATAACATAAAAGTAAAAAACAAAAACTAATGAAGCAAGATTACTACTCGATATCTTTCAAGAAAAATATAAGCTACTTTCTTATAAGGAATATAGTAATATACCACTGTTATTGTAAATTTGTTTCAACAACGCCTAACAGAGTAAGTCAGTGACAGGCTGACTAGGCCTAGGGCGGCAAAATCCTCGCGGCATCATTGAGGCTATGTCTAGTCCACAGAGCATGGGGTCAGCACCTTCAGATTGGCCTAGGGGCAGCAAAAACCTAAACACATTCTTGGAGTAAGTAACTACTAGTGTAAGTTAGTATTTAAAACAGGTATAATATATTGAAGGTAACATATCAGTTGTCAACTAAGACAAATAAATATATGAGTATTTTTAAAGCTTCTGACAAAGTTTAATTAAATGCTTGTGCTTATGAAGAGAACAACAATTTTTATGTACAATCAAACGTCTTTAAACAAACAGTGAAGAAAGTACTAATGTGAAGTGGAGGTCATTTCATCTTCACTTCATTCATACAACATCTGAGAAAATGAATAACATTACAATTCTTGTTGCTTCTCTGGCTTCTTTGATATCAGATGCACAAATGTATCTGAAAAATACACCATCGATATAAGAATCGAAGGTATAATATTTTTAAATCTGTCATCGTAACATTTATTTACAAATCACTAGCATTCCTCAAATACAACGTATTTGTACCTCATGGAATTCTTTAACTGGTTGGTCCAAACTTTCTGAAGATGTGCTTACTTTTATTAAAGTTTATCATTCTACAATTATGTGATACAATTCGTGTGAAGATGATACATCATAGATGACAAAGTACATATACGAATAGCAGGAGATATACTAGAAAAAATGGCTAATCTAAATTATAAGTAACACGTACGTTTTTGTTCTGGTTTTTGCCATCTAACTTTTATTGTGAACAACTCTCTACCACTTTAAGTAGGTTTTAACAAAACAGTCTGAAGCAGTCATAAAGGTAAGACCATGCAAATACCTTAATTTGGGAACGTTAGATTTTTTCTTAGACTAGAGTACCTACAACGCCTTTCTTAGATTTGATAAATACAGCAACGCCAACTACGTGCGTTTCCCATGTCAATCCTATAAAATCCAGTGTTTGTTTTTAGTGGTGTATTCAAGACACTTAGTGCTTTGTTGTTTTGTTTGTCTTAAGCTACCATATGATTCGATTTTAGCAGTGCTATTGTATTAAGTTTTTGTAGTTTTAACAAGGATGTATTATAATTTATGTCATAAACGCCGCTTTATTAATATACTTTACAAATACATAATAGGTAATGGCTACTACTTTAAGACGATATTACACTAAGCCTAATGTAAGTGCCTTGAGAGTAATCTGGGTTTAAAATTTAAGTAACACATCCTGGGTAGTTTGATCACCCCCTGTTAGTATGAATCAAGCTGTCCTGGAACCAAATTACGATGTTTAAGTAATCTGATTCTCATCTCCCTCCACTGATGACAACACTAGGTTTGTTCCTGTACATTTAGATACTGTTTATTCTGAGATTTTTTGCTTGATAACAAATAAGTGCTCACTAACTGAAATTATGTGACGTCAGTTTAAGTATCTACGTGATTGTTTTTTAGTAATGGTTAAAGTTAATACCAATGACACGAAAAACATACCTGTTTGAATTTTTAAAAAAACGATCATTAATTTGGAGAGAAATATATAATACACTGAGCACATCACTTACAGTAAGACTTGAAATACATAGCTAAGAGATAGAAATGCATATTTTTTTACCTTACAAACAGCATTAACGGCATAAATGCTTTAATTTATCTACATTTCCATCTGTTTCACAACCAATTATTCTAACAAAAAAGTTTTCTACGTTGTAAAATGTTTCCACTGACTTTCATGTTAAGGCTTTATTTAACATATTAAAATGTTGTCTTTTACACCGCTCGAGCTTACTAACTCCTAACTAGTTTAACCTCCATTCCACAAAAAATAATTCGGCTTATGTTTTTGCTCAAACTTTATAAAATTTTTTTTTCTAAGAGTCTGATATAGAATGTGTCATTAAATTTTTATATTTCCTGTATTTGTGTGATGGAGAAAATATATTTCAGAACGGACAGGGAGTCGAATCCAGGTCGCCAAGTTGGCAGCCTTATTCTAGACCAACTCAGCTCCTATACACATTACTTTCAACGGAGTACAGGTTTCAAACACTGAATTAAACGGAATTTCCACCGACATATTTCGGTTAATATAGAAACAGTTTGATAGCTGCGGTACAGTCAGTTGAAGATAATCATTCTGTAGATACCGGTTGTGAATGAAACCGGATTTATGCGTTTTTATTTACTACATAGCAGTGTCTGTCAACCATAACGATAACCTTATATTGATTCCCAAATCCAGAATAGTTCCCAATTCTTATTTCAATGTTAAACCAGTTGTTACTAACCATTTAGTAATCATCTTTGTTTGAAATGCTGGCTATGATTTTTGTCGACTTTTTCATTTGTTTTTTCAGAAGGTACAGAAGTTATAACGCATGATTTAAACAGCATTCTGTGTTGTTTGTTTTTTTTTGCAGTGGATTTAAACGGTCAACAAACTTCGCCTCCTCTACTAACCCAAGCTCTATCAGGTACTAAAAAAATTATTCACTTAATTCAGAAAAAAAAGAAAAAATTTATTAGATCAGAACTTTCCCAAAACCCAATTCTATATGCGATTGGCGGGAAAGTTATTTTATTCAGTAATAAAATGCCGTAGTTCTTAACAAGACCTTATCCACCTAAATATACCATTATTATAAAATTTAAGATCGCGTATCTTTTGCAGCGGGGAATATTGTGAAGTTTATGAATGTATAAGTTTGGATTAGGAAGAAGTAAAATGTAGTATATAACAATAACGAATTCAAAGAAAATTTAATCTAATAAGATTTAATAAGTGTTTTCTTCAACAGTTATAAACAATTATGGCCCACAAGGATTTGCTCCGCCCACTTCACCAGCCAATAACCGTGGGTGGCCTGCTACCAATAGTCCAGGCCCAATTGACCTCTACAGTTCCAGTCAGGACACCGTGGGTTATGTCCAGGCTACGAGCCCGCAGCCCTCGGGTTTCCCACATATTGCTGTAAGTAGGGTAGGTATTGCCACCAATAACAGTTGTTTGTGATATTTTTCAT